GATGATTGCACACCACTGCGCGAGAAACAGCGACAACGCGTGGCGGAACAGACGCCGCGGGAACTGCCGGGCAACCCTAAGGCAGGTCAGCCGGGGCGTCCTGCGCTAGCACAGCCCAGACAGATGCCGCGGAGGATGATGTTCTGATCACCCTGCCACGGCACGCCGGCTACCAGGTGCGCCAGGGCTCACGCGCTAAGCCAGCCGCGTTGCGTAAAGGTGACACGCGAACGGCCGCGACCCAGCGGACGCGTTGCACAGCGCACCCCAGCGGGGAAAACCCGAAGAGCTCGCAAGCCCACGCGGCCACCCGCAAGTAGGTCTCGCACGTCCGAAGAGTGGACGGCACAGTTTCGCTCAACGAGCGACTTTGCACCACCCTGTCTGCCAGTCTCACCAGATCCATCCTTGAGGCGCGGGCCTCCTCCAAGGCCAGGAGGCCCGGCGGGGCAAGCAGCGGCGCCGCCAGGGGCCTGTCGGGGCCGAAGAGCGACCGCAGTGGAGTTTGGAACCCTGCGTGCCACTACGGCGCCTGCTCCTCCGGCGCCGCCACGTCGTCCTCACGCGACCGCGGGGGTGGGCTCGCCCTGCCCTTGCCTCCCGATGGCTTCTCCAGGGGAGGCTCAGGCGGCGCCGCACCATTCCCTGCTGCAGGCGGTCCAGGGCCGGACGCGGCCCCCGCTGGGTCTCCACGGCCACAGGCTCCCCGCCCAGTCTCCGAGGGAGGGCCAGCAGCTCCGCGGCGCCTCCGTCCTCTTCGGCACCTCTGGCCAAGCAGCGCGCCACCTCGTACCGGTTGAAGGGCTCGTCCCCATCCCAGGCCTGCGGTACTGCGGCCGTGGCGGCCTCAATCCGTGAGAGCCACCGCCCAACCCTTGCGGCTGCCAGGGCTCCTGGGGCCATGGGCAATGTCACCTCTGATCCAAATTCCCTCGGCCAGGCAGCCCTGCTCGGCGCTGTCACAGCTCCGCGCTGCCCCGCGGCGAGGCGTTGGCGCCTCCGCGCCCGCCTTTTGCGCGCAATGCGGCGACCAACGACCCAAGGGGCGGACCGGGGCATTTGGGTCTCAGCCTCCGCCTGCCAGCCAGCCTCCTCCGCCGGCTCGCAGCACAGCGGGGCCGCCCCGCAGCTGCGGCTGCCGCCTCCGCGCCGATGGTCGGCGCGCGCTGTGTAGCACCAGCCGCCCCCGGGGCTAGCACCGGGGCCTCCTAAACCCAGCAGAAGAACTTGAGCCCCCAATCGGTGGCGGACAGAGGAAGAGAGAGAGAGAGAGGGACGGAAGAAACAAGAGAGGCACCCCCAGCACGTGGCCCAGCCGTCGTGGAACCTTACGTTCTTCTGCGCTCGAACTCTCGCGGTTGAGAGGATGGAGAGGCGGGGGCAGCGGGTGGGAAGGAAACGCGGGGCGTTGTCTCTTCAAAATGAGGACCCAACACCACAGGATGGTTGGGAAAAGCGAAACAGCCCAGTGTGGCAAAAACGCAACGTGAATCAGAGAGGAGGGGAGGGCCCACCACCCCCGGCTCTGCCGACCTGGACGAGTTCTCCTGCCCCACCTGCTTGAGGCGGGAAACGGGCTCCAAGCCGGCCGAAACCTTGGAGTCAAGCCTGCTGCTGACGCTGGCCACCGACGTGGAGTCGACGCTGGCCCGTTTCGGGCAGTCGAGCACCAGCTTGCTGCCCTTCTTGCCTGTGGGGCTCCTCCTTCTCCTCCTCCTCCCACTTCCTCCTCCTCCTCCTCCTCCACGTCCTCCTCGTTTTCACTCTCCTCCTCATCCTCCTCTTCCTTTTCCTCCTCCTCCTCCTCCCCCTCCTCCCCTCCTCCTCCTCCTTCTCCTCCTCCTCCTCCTTCCTCCCCTCTCTCCTCCTCCCTCCTCCTCCTCACTCCTCCTCCCTTCCTCTCCTCCTCCTCCTCCTCCTCCTCCTCCTCCTCCTCCTTCTCCTCCGCCTCCTCCTCCTCCTCCTCATACTACTCCTCCTTTTACTCATCCTCCTCCTCCTCCTCCTCTTCTCCCTCCTCTTTCCCCATTGTCCCGATGGAAAGACAAGGAGGGAGGAGCCGGGGAGCCCCCCCCGCCTTCGCCCCTCGTGAAGAGGAGGAGGAGGAAGAGAAGGAGGAGGAGGAGGAGGAGGAGGGGGAGGAGGAGGAGGAGGAGGCGAGGAGAGGAGGAGGAGGAGGAGGAGGAGGAGGAGGAGGGGATGGGAGGGGGAGGAGGAGGGGTGAGGAGGGGAGGGGGGGGGAGGAAGAGCCCGAGTGGAGGAATGAAACACCAGAGGAGGGGAGGGGGAGGAGGAGGAGGAGGAGGAGGCGAGGAGGAGGAGGAGAGGAGGAGGAGGAGGAGGAGGCAGGAGGGGGAGGAGGAGGGGAGGGGGAGGGGAGGGAGGGAGGAGGAGGAGGAGGAGGAGGAGGAGGAGGATGGAGGGAGGAGGCGAGGAGAGAGGAGAAGGGGAGGAGGAGGAGGAAGAGAAGGAGGAGAGGAGGAGGA